TCCCCCACGAATCAATCAATCAATCAATCAATCAATCAATCAACCAATCAATCAATCAAAAAAAAAAAAGAAGCAAAATCGAATAAATCAATCAATCAATCAATCAATCAATCAATCAATCAATCAATCAATCGCGGGGTGGGGCGAACCCTCCCTCACCGGTCAATCAATCAATCAGTCAATCAATCAATCAATCAATCAATCAATCAATCAATCAATCAAACAAAAATCAACGGAAAAACAAAATCGAACCAACCAACCAAGCAACCAACCAACCAACCAACCAACCAACCAACCAACCAACCAAAGGCGGGGCGGGGCGACCCCGCCCCCACCAATCAATCAATCAATCAACGGAAAAAAAAAGAAAGAAAAAAAATGCGTTTTTTTTTTCCAATTTCCTTCGATTTCGCCCTTACCCCCCCAACCAAAAGTTGTTCTTTTTCCTTTTCTTTTTGTGTGTGGGGGTGGGGCCGGGGATGCGCCGCCCGATGGTGTTTCCTGAATCCCGAAACCCCCTCCCCTGCGGATGCCACGTGGCGTTAAAGCCGCGCGTCCGCGGCCTCGCGGCCTCGTCCGCAGCCGCGGACTTGGCCGTGGTTGTCCGCCGCCGAGGGTGTTTCATAGCGAGGGGGTGGGTTGGTCGGGAGTGGGGGTAGAAAGCGTTCCAATCCCGCGGCTGTCTCCGGAAGCTCCTGAGATCGGACGATGGTGGAAGCGAGGGAATCGATTACCACTATGAGGGAGGGAGGTGAGATAGTCAGGGTAGAGGGTGGCGAAGGTTCGAAAGAGTGCCGCGCGGAATCGATGTGGTTCTCGCATGCGGGGATAATCCCCGTAATCATGCAATAAACCTTGATGATATTGTGGTCTCGCCACGCGGCACTGAAGAGGAGGGCATGAAGACAGAAGTCAGGGAGGGCACACCGGGTTGAGGGGTGGGGGTGAACAGTGACAAAAGGCGGGTGGCGTAGAAAAATCGGAAGGTATCAATTGGGAAGGGATTACGGGGGAAGGTAACGCGGGTGGTGATCTGGCGGAGGGTGAAGTGATCAAGGGGACGACGGGATAAGGACCGGGGATGAAGGCCGATGGCCCGCATCGGTACGGGCTCGAACTGGTGGACGGTCGGAGGTGGAGGGGGAGGGGGATCGGCTTCGTCGCCGCCTGGCCGGTGCGCTCGAAGTCTCGGCAGCTGGGTCCCCATCTTCGGGCTTGGGTGGCTCCAGATCTTTGGCGGGATCGTCGGCGATCGGCCGATTTGCTCCGCTTGCGAATTCCAGCTGTCGCTTTCCGGCCGCAATCTCTTCTCTTTTGCGCGCTGCCTCGGGGTCCTCCGCCTGAGCGTCCGTTCGTTCCCCCTCTTCCGCCGAGATTTCCCACTCGAATTTTTCCAGCTCCAACTCTTCCTCTTCCTCGTCTTCCTCTTCTTCCGAGTCTTCTTCCTCCTCACTCTACTCTCCCTCGTTGTGTTCACTATAATTGCCTTCTTTCGGTGTTTCTTCCTCCTCCTCTTCCTCCTCTACGCCTTCTTGTTCTTCTTCCGCTTCTTCTTCTATCGCTAGCTCCTCGTCTTCGGAGACTGTTCGATCCTGGAAGAAAGTGAGGTCGACTATCCCCCGCGGGTCCAGATATCCTCGTTGCGATGGCGGGTTGCGGCTGCTTCCCGATTCCTCCAGACACGCTGACCACTGAATGTACAGCGTCAGAGTTCGTGTGAGGACGTGCGGGACCGGGCTCTCGTCGCTCTGCGAAACGATATCCAGGGGAAGAGCATCAACCAACTGCGCGAGTGGAACCATGAGTTCCTGCATGATCAGCTGGCGATGGGCAGGCCGCACCGATCCGAACAGGAATCCACGAAGATCGCCTTCCACCTCCGTCCGCCAGGCCTGGATGATCAGTAGCTCCAGGTACTCAACACCAAGCGTGGTGCTCCTCATCCCTTGTCCACGTGAGTCGCACTCCGACCAGGCACATCGAAAGATCGACAAAATGTTCACACCACAGCTCCCACTGCCTTGGATCGAGAAGGGGGACAGCGAGCGGTTCCAGACAGAAGGAGAAACGAGGGTGAAGACTAGACTGCCAGAAGGTGGGAAAGAGGGATGGGAGAGCGAAGGTGGAGAGTTGGGAGCGGTTCATTAGGGACGTTGAAAGGGGATGAGCTCAGGAAGCACCACCGTCGGCTCGTGCTGGGACGCTCGAATCCCACTAAGTTCGATGTCGTCCATAGGGACAAGATTGTCCCCGGGGCGCGTGAGTCAGTGGTTCCACTCCGCGGCCAACTGGTGACCCCACTCTCTCAGTGACGTTCGGATCGCCGTATGCCACAACGGGCTGATCGCCCTGATATCGCCGCTGAAGGAGATGACGGTGGACGCGTGGCTAATCCCTGGGGCTGACCGCCGATGGACAGCTACCGCTTCCACCAACACAACCGTTTGACGATTACTCACGAATCGGAACTCTGCTGCCGCGGATACCCCTGTGGTACAGAAGAACTGCGCAAGCCGTAGAAGATCCAGATTGAAGCGCGGATGATGAACTTTACAGATTGCCGAGATATAACCACGTGGCGCTAGCAGATGATCGCCGAGAGCTCGCTCCGTGAGAAAACTCATGGCGCTGGTGGCGGAGACGGAGTACAGGAAAAGGCGAGAGATGCAGGGGAGGAAGAAAGCGATGGAGAGTCGTCGTCTTCCTCCGTAGTGAAGGAGGAGGAAGAAGATGTAGGAGATGGGGAGGAAGGGAGGGAACGTAGATAGGACATGTGGCATACGATCGGTTGCGCCGATCGGCTCCCTGAGACCTCTGGCACGAGGCGCACCGTGTTCACCCCGTTCGGGCTGATTTCGATCACACGAAATCGCCCGAAGAATCGTGGCGCTATCTTTTCCTTGCAAGCACATTTCCTCACCTGCATCAGGTCCCCTAATTTGTATTGGGGCCCCGGGCCCGCGTTCCTGTTCCGGGCCTCGTAACTACGGATCTGTCAGCCGTGGGCCAACTCAGTCATTTTTTGGCGCTTTTGGGCTAATCAGGGCAGGGATCTCTTCCATCAATTCCATACGTCGCTTGGCCTTGTCCCGAACCGTGGCCCTTGTGGGCCGTCGGTTCAACGAGGTTCGTCCGGGAGGCTGGGTATCGAAACGCAGGCCTCACTGTTGGTCCGTAATTGGAAAGGGCTCAGGCCCGCCGATTCGTGGGGCGTCCCTCGATGAACCGCCAGGATGTGATCTACGATATCGCGTCAGGGCCTTGGGTCCCGCGCCACGATATTGCGTCGTAGCGCAGTCTTTATCACTCTATTTGCATTTTCTACCAGCCCGTTAGATTGCGACATGTGGGGTGCAGTATTCAGGATAGCAACGTCGTGTACGGCCAGATTCCTCAAGAATTCTCCCTTAAATTCTACCCCATTATCGGTCAGAATTTCCTTCGTGTCCTGGTGCATCCCTAAAAAACAATTGACGTATCGCGCAATTTCGGCCGCCTGTCGCGTACGGCACTGATACGCCTCGATCCATTTCGAAAAATGGTCCACGAACACCAGTAGGATTGAATATTCGCAGCTATTAGGTGCAGGGGTCACCACAATATCGGTCACGGTAGTATCCATGTTAACCCTTTGAAAAGGCCGTTCAACTACCTTCAGCACTATCAATCTAGGCGGCTGAATCAGCACCTTGTCAGCAGAGTATACCTGACGATTCGCGACGATGAACTTCACATCGTCACGAATATTGGACCAATACCACTCATTTTTGTCGATTGTCGCCTCCGTAATCTGTACGGCAAAATGGGCAGCCGTTTCCTTATGCGCTGTCTTTACCCAGTCATACCTCATGAACGGGTGCGGCACTACCATCCAAATCTCACTACCATCCGTTTTCCGTTTTTCCAATCGTCCCTCATTCCAACGGTATTCCCGAGCCCTTTCATTGGCCCTCCTCCGATCTTCCTTGGTGAAGTCCTGGAGGGGGTTACCTACTAGGGTGGCAATCAAGGCGATTTTCGTCCATACTTCGGCCCTTCTAAACTTTCGGGTCTTCTCTAACCCTTCTGATGTGGCATCTAAAAAGCGAGCCTCGGTCGGGATCTTATCAACCCGACACGAGGGGCACAGCCAAGGCTTACTGCCATTTCGGTATTGGATGCACGAGCCATGGGCTCGTACGACACACTGTCGATAGTCTACCCATTTCGCATATCCTTCCCCGCCTGGGCGCATAGAGACTGAGTATACGCGAGAAATTGCTTCGCAAAAATAACAAAATTTATCGGGCAGGAAGAGGAGAGATGAGGAGGAGAGCGGAGAGAGGGGAGTTGTAGGGTTACCTCCGTCACCCATGGCCACCTGCCTGCTTCTTGCCACGTGGAAGGACTGTCACTTGTCCGTACTTGGGTCCGTTCGTTGATTCCGGTTCCTTTAACGGGACGATCTCTTCCACCTTAGGCACTTTAGCTGGTCGATGCAGACGTGTCAGTCCGTCCGCGTTGTCGTGCCTCTCCGTCTTTCAATGGATGATGTCGAAGATGTATTCCTATAGGCGCACCGCCCAACGTCCAATCATGCCCACGTAATTAGTGAGTCACTTCAGTGCTAGCAAGGGCTCGTGATCGGTGACAAGGAGAAATTTCTGTCTGTACAGATACGGATAGAAGTGTTGGATTCCCCACACTACCGCGTAGCATTCGCCCTGTGGGGCTGAGTCATTTCTCCGCTCATTTGGCACCGTTCGTGACGCATACTCGATGACGTGTTCGCGGTCGTCGTTCCCCTTCTGCGCTAAGATAGCGGAAATACCCTCCGGCTGCCAGTCCGTGATGAGAATGAACTGCTTCGCGGGGTCCGGCAGGATCAAAATAGGTGTTGTTGCCAGAGCGTCCTTGAGGGTCGCGAAGGCCCGTTCGCACTCTGCGTCCCAACTAAGGGGCTGATCCTTTCGTAACAGGTTCGTTAAGGGTCGTGCAATCGCGGCGAAGCCTTTGATAAAACGACGATAGTACGAGGCTAACCCCAAGAAGGCTTGAACCTGCGTCAGTGACGTGGGGACAGGAGCTTCCTTCACCGTCGTGACCTTTCTTGAGTCAGGCCGCAGTCCTCCACGTGTCACGACGTAGCCCAAAAATGAGATTTCCGAAAGGAAAAATTCGCTCTTTTCGAGCGCGATTTTGAATCTGGCGTCTTTCAGAGCACCCAACGTCCACTCGATATGTTGTGCATGCCCGTGATAGGTCTCCGAATAAACCAGAATGTTGCCCATGTATACTAAAACGCAGAAGTTGATCATTCTCTATGTTAACCGCGTCTTATTAACGAAGTTCTGAAACGTGACATTCATGGCTCGCTGAAACGTGGCGGGCGCGTTGCAAATCCTCATCGGGCACCGAACCCATTGCCACGTGCCTTCAAACAGTACGAAGGCCGTCTTTGGCCGATCTTCCTCCTTGACCAGAACGTGATGGAAGTCGTGCCGAATATCAAACTTACTGAAGTAATTAGCACACCCAATCGCATTCAGCAACTCATCAATCCGGGGAAGGGGATACACATCTTTGATCGTGATGTCATTCAGTTTGCGATAATCAATCCATATGCGAATCGATCCGTTCTTTTTCGGTACTAGTACTACCGGAAACGACCATGGTCCAGTGGCGGGTTCGATCCAACCGCTTGCTTCAAATTCTCGAATCCGCTCGAGAACCTTTTTCTGTTCTACCAGGGAGTATCTGTAAGGTTTACAGTGAATTGGGGAATGGTTTCCTGTTTGGATCTCGTGCTGTATGACTAACGACAGTCCAATGTCTGTGTCCGTCACACTAATCGTTCCTTTGTATTCATTCAAAATGTCTGCGATTAGGTGGTGGATCTCCTCAGGTACGTATCGAGGTACGTGCAACTCATACAATTCATCCCATATCCTTACATCGATGTGTTTTGTATTCACCCATTTGGTGTTCTCTGGTGGGGGCACGTAGATGAATAGGTTATCTGATCGCCAGGAAAACATCGTGGCCATCATCTGTGCATCTTGTTTTCGAATGGCCACGTGTTCCTCCGGTGTTACTCCGTCTCGAATGTCTTGCCACGACACAGGTTTCGTTGCGATCTTGATCCCGAGTCCATTTTCAAGGTGCTCAGGGGGTTCCAAAGAGTTGGTCTCTGCCCCTAAGCGTAACAATCGAATATCTTTTGTAGGTGTCAAAAGGGAGCTCGAGAGATTCGTGATATCGCAGTAATGCTTTTTGTCCTCATATCGTGCGAGCAGAGGCGAGATTCCTTCGTATAGGGTTCGAGAGGGTTCCAAGAATTCGACCATCCTCGAAATCTGTACGAGAGGTTCTCCCATAATCATTGCCTGCGTTCTCTGTAGATCTAGGTTAATCCGGCTCAAGACTTCTACATTTGTGCGTTGCACGGGATAGTGAATACGTTGCTGCGCCATCTCCACGATTGCTGGATCGTCATCATCACTGTTGTCCACGTCTTTGGATGTCTGCCCGTTGTCCCAGGTAATCACGTGAAGAGTCCCCGTCATCGTGGGAGAAACTCGCGGGGCTATGTTAGCGGTAGTACGAAGAGTCGGTCTCATCGGTACAACATAGGGCTTTCCTCCCGTATTTCAGAGGACAATCGATCGTCTTTCAAAATCCAGATTGACTCGCAAGGCCACAAGAGCGGGAAGGCCGAAAACGATGTCGTACGTGTTTACGCCTAAGACTACGACATCTCCCGCATGTACCTTCCCTAATCGAAAAGCAACATTGGTCATCCATCCCACCGTTTTGATCTTCTCCTCATCTGCTGAGACAAGCTGATCTTTTTCCATAAGCATGATAAGATCGTTCTTTCTTCCTGCTTTTTTAACCACCCGTAAGGAAATAGCTAACACAGCGGCTCCCGAATCGATGATAGCATTATATGGAATTCCCCATACCTCGATGTCGCATTCTGTGAATTTCCATGGGATGGGTTTAATGCGCAGGAAGTGATCATCTTTTTGGATTAGTCCTATGCGTATGGGATCGGAAGTATTTTCGTCCGGTATCGGTCCTTTCGTTTTTGTGTTTGCTGCTCTGGTAAGAGCAAACCGTTTCCGATTTGGTTTGCAGTGCTACAACATACGTTCGTTGGCTTGTTCTGATATCGAAAGCAAATGACCGATAGGGAGGGGGATTCGGTGATATAAGGCTCGCATGATGTTTAGAACATCGATTTCCCCCATGACGAAAGTGGGTCCTCCCGACTCCATCTCTCCTGGAGAAGGTCGCCACTCCGCCACGTCTCGTTGTTCAGGCGCGGGTCTAATCGTACCAATCATCCCAAGCCCCGAATATCCCAGTGTTACATACTGATCTAATGGAATAAGCTCTGCAGCCTCCTCCATTGTTGCTAACGTGGTTCCGCATCCCTCTACTTCTTCCATCAAAGCTCCTACCCGTCCTGGCCCGTTAGCGATCGGGGCTGCAGCTATCGGTGCGGCTCCGACTCGTTGTTGTGGGGGCCGATGCATGCAATCCCGGGCTATGTGCCCTGGTTGGTCACATGTGTAACAAACATTTAGATTGCTCGGGATCCCTGCTGGCGGTGGTGCCGAAGCCAATCCGTGCTGGATCGGCATGGCACGCACTGCGATGGGTCGCATCAATCTCATCATCGCCTCGATTCGAGCATTGTGTTCCCATTGCTCCTTTTTACTCTCTTGAATCAAATTAACCAATATTTTGGTTAGTTCGTGCAAGGCCGGAAGACTCATTTGGTCGTGAGGGGGTTTCGATCGAGGGTGGAGGTGCTGTTATCACGGGCACGGGCACGCTCGCAATCACACTCAGGGCTGGTCGTTTGGGACTAATCTGCTCCAGATAGGTGACAGGGCCCGACACAAACCCCATGTTTTCGAATTTGTTCTGCAATGCAGCCAACTCAGCTTTAGCTCTTGCCAGCTCGGACGAGTCTCCTTCCCTAAGGTAATCTTCCCCTTCTAGGAAACTCGCTGCAAACTTTCGCTCTATTTCTTCTGCAGCGACCATGATCTGTTGCAACGTATGATTGATGGGGGAGAAGTGTTTTTAAAGTTTCGCCCTCATTGTTCTGCTGCGAAGTCCGTCGATGAACAAATCTCTTTCTACTTTCTCACCTCGCTCTGTTTTCACAAACATTCGGTAAAACCGGTTTCGATACTCATTAACAGATTTGAGGGGTTTTTTAACTCGATCTTTAATCATAAAAAGAGCTTGTTCGGGGTGAATGTAATCAAATCGGTTCAAAAAATCTCGCTCGAATGTCGGGAGATCAACCCATACATAGGTGTTAAACCAGTGATGGGCATCTCCTCCCAGTCGTGCAGGGATGTTCACCTGTGCCTCGTTATCATCATACTGTTGAGCCAGGAGCATGGCTAACCATGCTCTAGCAAGATGATGTGCAGGGTCGAATAGATAAAGGTCGGGTGGCGTCATAGGAGCTCATGCTCGCGGTACGGGTTGATTAGGATTCTGCTGGGGATTTGAGTTTTGTTGGGGGTTCTGCTGATTAGCGTTCATGTCGACCGTCCGTCGGGCCGCAGACCAGCTTCTGGTGACGACGGGATCGCGTCGATGCGCGTTCCGGAGTCGCAGTCGTCCCCTATTTGCAAGATCACCAGCAATGAATCGTAGAACCCTGCCACGTGTCAAGCTCCGATACCAACCTCACGCCCAACGCGTCTTCCTGATCGGAGTGGGATGTGGGCCTGGAAGTGCGAAAAGGGGTATGCCAAGGATTTATGGGAAAGTGGGGGTGGAGTCCCAGGTCGGAACTGAGATCTCATGTGGCAAGGTTTTAGGGGCATAGATGCAATAGGGCTAAGGGCGAGTTACTTCCGGTCGGTTGGCGTTCTATGTTGTGCAACATAAGGCAGATGGCATGTGCGGTGCATTCAAGGCCGTCCGACCTGTTTTGGGGGTGGCGGTTCGGGGAGAGGTCTGCCCGGGATGGCTGTGATTCCGATGAGTCGGGCCTTCGGGTGCAGACACGTGGCGTCTGCCGTCGCGCGTTTGGGTTAGGCCCTCTAGTTTCAGGGGCTCGTCGGTTGCCGCATCGCCGACAATTTTCGCAAGGCGAGGCGATGGAATTCCACGGAACCACCGTGAGTTGGTGATACGGGAGGAGGAGACGAAAGGGAGGGAAATTGGTAGAGATAACAACGAAGCCGGGGGATATGAAGTATTGCGTGTTGTCTGAAGTAGGAAAATTGGGGCACCTCGGGTCGCTGGTTGTGGCACAGTGAAACTCCATGGGGCACAATCGATTCTCGCTTAGGCAGGGGAATTCCGGGTATCTTTGCCTAATACATTCCCTCACCCAAGGGTCGAAGTACTCCGAATCCCAAGAGCTCGACATCTTATCATTGCAGTGTGATGGAATCCTCCCGCACGCGTCTAATCGGCAGGGGGAATTTCCGATGTGATATCGGAAACTCCTATCCGTTTAGGTGCATGGGGGAAGGAAAATTCCCGCCTACCCGATATCGAAGGTGTCAAGTTCGTCAACGGTCGCGAATCGACGCGCATGGATACGTGTAGGCTGCGCAGATCAAATCGCACTTACACGCATCCCCGCGAGGTATTCGCTTCTTTCTGGACAAACAACTACCTAAACATCTAATCTCTCAATGATCCGCACGCAATCGTTCCTGAGCTATCAGGCATCGCAGCAACAACGGTGGCTCAAAAAAAGAATAAACAGCAATGGAAGCAGTAATGACGACTACGCAAAAGTTTCTACTATGCCCATGAACGTATCAAAAGGACAAGCAAAGGCAAGGACCGGACAAAAGAAAAGCAATAGACATGACATTCATTCACCCATTCATTCGACAAGACATACACAACAAAAGAGATCAAGATCAATCGCAAAATGAGTGTGGGCTGAAACCAAGACAAGGATTCCGAAGACAAAAGAAATGAGGTGAGTCGCCCTGAGCTGAGATCAAAATTTATATACAAAAGTAAGGAGGGGGAAAAGACAAAGAAAACTGCAAATCCACGTCCATCAACCTCAGCTCCCTCTTCCTTTCTCTCTCTCTCCGACGCGGATAGTCCGTCGTCACGCACCAACCCAGGAAGTCGTCACCCCACTTAGTCCTCCTGCACTCGTCAGGTTCGCCCGCGCGCTACAGTCCGTCGTAGCCCCACGCGTCAACCCCGCGCATTCGGCACCAGCTCGTCGGGTTGCCCGACTCGCACTTCAACTCACCTCTTACTTCGCTCGCGAGCCGTCCCTCACGGATCGCGCTCCCCGAGCTTCCAACAACTGGTTAAGAGAGCTATCTAATCGCGCAGCCAGAATTTATAGCGTGCATGCATGCGCGAAGAACACGGAATTGCAAGGACTTAGAAAGGAGATTAGGAGAGGGAGCGCCTACGTTCTGCATGGCCAGATCGCGGGCGCGGGGGACGTAGCCTCTCTCCACGCATCAATCCGAGTATACAGTCCGCGGGCTAGCTAGACACAGCAAGAGAAAAAGCGAGAGCGGGAAAGATGAAGTTCAAGAAGAAAGATACAGTTACAATGGCGCCTGCCCAAAATTACAGTTACACACACGATTAAGGGCGCCGACTAATCAGAGCTCTGTTGCAGCCGCAAAAAGAAGCGCGTAAGCAAAAAGCGCTGCGCGGCAAAAAAAATCCTAAATTCCTAGATTCCTAGCTAATGCAAAAAGAAGCACAAATTCTGAAAGGAAAGTTCAAAATTCCGAGAGCCATTGGGGATCGACAAGAATCCAAAAGAAAATTAAAAAAGAACGAAGCAAAAATTCCCACGCGGTCTCCGCGCCTAAAATCCGACAACAACACAGAAAAGGAGCGACGTCAACCATTATTAATCGCGCCTGGTCGACACGACAGCCACTCAATCAATCATCCCGGGACTTGTCCGGCCCTGAATCCAGCCATCCGAAAAGAAGCGACGAAAGAGAAAAGACGAAAAAGCGAGGACACTGATGCAATTCTCCCTCAATCCTGATCTCCCGTAATTGGCCCATCCTTCCCAGCTTAGGACCCCTCATTGTTATCGCGCAGAAAATCGCGCGGAACAGAAATCGGTTCATCACAGTGGAGCGAGACCCTTAGGGCCTCGCCACACCACTCTTGAAAACTCATTTTCAAGAGTTGCTGCATGGCCACACAGCAAGCACTCTTGAAACTTGGGGCTTTCAAGAGCTGTCAGCGTCAGAGTGGCAGCCTCTTGAAATCCTTTAAAGAGGGGCTCTTGAAAGATTCGAAGCCCCAGCCAGGCTGCCTGCAACTCGTGCTTTTTCAAGTGTGTCCTTGGCCGAACCCTTGAGGGACTATAGACTTTCAAGAGTCTTCAGGCCATTATCTTTTTTTTTTTTTTTTTTTAATAACCGGACCGAACGACCATTATCCTGACTGACGGCCATTCGAAAAAAACAAAGAAAGCAGTAGGACTGTCTTTTTCTTTGCACCATCACCATTTCAAGAGTGCTTGCTCGAAAACATAACTCTTGAAAGCGTTTGACAGCTCTTGAAACATTCCCCTGTTTCAAGAGCAAGGGCCTCGCCACACCACTCTGGAAAAGTGAAAAAGACAAAAATGTGGCGGTTGCATCTGGCCATGTTCTAAAGGGAAGTTCATCCTCATTGTGGTGATGCCCTTACTGCCATTGGCTGAAATGGTGCCTCTCGTGG